TTAATTCCATGTTTTGACCTTGCAACTTCTATTCCCAGGAAATACTTCAGCTTACCCAAATCTTTCGTATTGAAGTGGTCCTGTAAGAATTTCTTTAACCTGTCGATTTTGTAACTGTCACTCCCAATTATGACAATATCATCCACATACACTACTAGCAAGATTTTCCCATATTTTGAGTCATGGCTGAACACAAAATGGTCTACCTGACACTGTTTCATCCCAAAGGCTTTCACCACTTCATTGAACCTGCCAAACCAAGCACGTGGAGATTGTTTCAGTCCATAAATTCCCTTTTTGAGTTTACAAACCTTACCATCCTCCCCCTGAGCAACAAACCCTGGTGGTTGCTCCATATACACCTCCTCAATGAGATCACCATGTAGGAAGGCATTTTTGATGTCAAGTTGTACAAGAGGCCAATCATACATAGCAGCTAATGAAATCAACACCCGAACTGAACCAATCTTAGCCATAGGAGAAAATGTCTCCATATAGTCCACACCATACAGCTGAGAATAGCCCTTGGCTACTAACCTGGCCTTCAATCGCTCCACACTGCCATCAGGAAGATACTTCACTGTGTAGATCCACTTACACCCAACAACATGCTTACCAGGAGGAAGAGCAGTGAGTTCCCACGTGTGATTGTGTTGCAGAGCAGAGAGTTCCTCTTCTATGGCTTGTCGCCACCCTGGGGAGGTAAGGGCTTCCTGGACAGTCTTGGGAATGGAAACAGATGAGAGTAATGATATAAAGTTGTGATGAGAAGCAGAAAGGTGAGTAGTTGAAACATAGTTGGAAATAGGATGAGAAGTACAAGTACGTTTACCTTTCCGTAGAGCAATAGGAAGATCAAGATCTAAGGGAGAAGAAGCAGTAGCAGGATTTGTCGACGAGGGCTGAATTGGAGGAGGGTCCGATGCACTTCTGCGGGTATGCACTTGTGTGATTGGCGGCCTCTCAATAGTAACTGGCATGGGATGTGAATCTGCAGTAGGAATAGGAGCCACGAGAAGGGGATCCGCAACAGGGACGGGAAGAGGAACTACGGAGGAAGGAGAAGAACCCACAACATCTGAGAAAAACGAGACTGATTCAAAGAAGGTGACATCAGAGAGCACAAATGACTTATGGAATTTAGGGTTATAGCACTTATACCTTTTCTGAGTCCTCGAGTAGCCAAGGAAGATACACTTAGTGGCTTGTGCATCTAACTTGTCTAAACCAGGCCCCAAGTGTTGAACAAAACAAACACAGCCAAAGACTCTTGGGGTGAGAGGAAGTGGAGACAAGGTGGGAAACAACACCGAGAAGGGGGATTGACTTCCAAGGATGGACATGGGCATTTGATTGATCAGAAAACAGGATGTGAGGACAGCATCACTCCAAAAATGCTTTGGGACATTCATATTGATCATCAAGGACCGAGTAGTTTCAAGGAGATGTCGATTTTTTCGTTCAGCTACACCGTTCTGTTGTGGGGTGTAAGTACAAGAAGTTTGATGAATTATCCCATGGTGCTCTAGGTATTGCTGAAATGGTGATGAGTTGTACTCTTTGGCATTATCGAAGTGAATAATTTTAACATGAACACCAAATTGAGTGCGTATTTCAGCATAAAATTTTTGAAAAATAGAGAACAATTCACTACGGCCTTTCATAAGATAAATCTATGTCATCCTTGAAAAGTCATCAACAAAAATTACAAAATACTTGTGGCCATTGTATGACATCACTTTGATTGGACCCCATACATCAGAATGAACTAAAGAAAAAGGACTTGAGACACGACTATCAACTCTTGGACTAAATGAGACTCTATGATGTTTTCCCAATTGACATGACTCACAATCTAAAGATGAAAGATGACTCAAGGAAGGGACCAACAACTTCAGAGCCTTGAGAGAAGGATGGCCAAGTCTGCAGTGCCATTGAAGAGGAGTAAGAGACGACTGAAAAGCTACTGGAGGGCCACCACCATCAAGGTAATACAATCCACCTGCTTCATGCCCTCCACTAATCTTCCTCCCCGTCTTGAGATCCTGAAACACACAAGAAGAAGGATAAAATGTTATAGAACAATTAAGAGACTTGGTTAATCTACTAACAGACATAAGGTTAAAGGGGAACTTGGGAACATATAAAACAGATGATAAAGACAAGGAGGAGAGATCAACATCACCAACACCACAGATGGGAGATGTAGAACCATTAGCAAGAGTAACTGTTTGAGATGTGGAGGAGCGAGAAAGGGAAGAAAATACATCAGGAGTCCCAGACATATGGTCCAAGGCTCCGGAGTTAATGATCCAGTGTGAGGCTTTGGAAGCTAAGCAAGCCATACCTGAATGGGCAAGGGTAGTGGTGTTCTGCTGAGATGTCTGAAGGAACTGCTCATATACTGCACGTGGTACACTCACCATTTCCTTCCCAGAAACACCAGTAGATGTGGAGGGGGGGTCAGTTTGCTGGCTCTCAGTAATTGTACCACTACCCTTAGTCATAGCATGGTTAGCCCAAGTGTTAGGTGGACCACGTAAATCATAGCTGAAATTAACTGTGTGTCCCTCTAAACCACAGTGTGTACACTTTCTCTGGGCATTACTTCTTCCTTTACCATGACCTCCCTCTGAGTCTCGGCCTCCACTCCGGCCACCAGCGCGGTTAAACATGTGACCACCACGGTTGTCTGGAAGTCCACTACTACCACCACCACTTCTATTTCCTCGACCACCCCCTTTAGTCACCACCAAACCAGATCTGTCCGAGAGAGAAGAATGCTCTACAGACTCAA